AAAAAAAAAAAAAAGAATTCCTGATGTTGCCCAGGTTGGTTTTAAATTCCTGGCCTCACATCCTCCCATGTCTGCCTCCGAAGCACTGAGATTACCTGTAAGTGTGAGCTATTGCGTCCGGGTCGGAGGTAACTTTTGACAGCCTCGCCATGTTTCCTGTCCTGAGTTGAGAGTTTCTGGGAGTCTCCCCTTGGGTGAGCCTGAATTTCTGAATTGGGGCTTCCAGAATCTCCAAGACGTCTTGGAGGAGAAGCTGAGAGTTGTCAATTAAACCGTTCACGGAGCTAAAACACATGCAACGTTCCTTCAGCCATATCTATCCCCATGTATTCATGCAGTGTTACTGGATCCCGTTCTAGCTGTCTACTGCTGCATAACGTATCGTACGTAACTTAGTGACTTACATAGTAATAACAGTCAATTACACATTTCTTTCATGTTTCTGGGAGTAACTGGGCTCAGCTAGGTGGTTCTCACCCCGTGTCGCTCTCGTGGCTGCAGTCAGCGGCAGCTGAGGCTGGAATCATCTCAGCCTCTTCAGTACATGTTTGGCAGTTGATGCTAGTTGCAGCTTTGGTTTTCAGTGGGGCTTTTGGTTGGGACATCTACATGTGGCATCTCTCTGTGTGTGGCCTTACTCTCTCTATGTGACCTGAGTGTCCTCACAGCATAGCAGCTGGGTTCTGAAAGGGAGCATCCAAAAAGAGAGTTAAAAAAAAAAAAAATTTAAAAGAGAGTGAGCCAGGAGGAAGCCACATTATCTTTTAGAGCCACAGATGTCACACGCATTTCTACCACATTCTGTTAATTAGATACAAGTCATTGGGCCAGTCCATATTCAAAGGAAGGTCAATTTGATTCTACCTCTTGATGGAAAGGATGTCAAAAAATTCACAGGCGAGTCATGGTGGCTCATGCCTGAAATCCCAATGCTTTGTAATACTGTGGCAGGATGAGGAGGGTTGTTTGTCTGAGTTCAGCACCAGCCCGGCAACATGGTGAAACCCTGTCTCTACAAAAAACATGAAAATTAGCCAGCTGTGGTGGTATGAGCTTGCAGATCCCGCTACTCGGGAGGCTGAGGTGGGAGGGTCACCTGAACCTGCGATGGGGCTGCTACCCTCCAGCCTGGGCGACAGAGTGAGACCCTGTCTTAAAAAAAAAAAAGAAAGAAAGAAAGAAAAGAAAAAGAAAAAACATTGCCGATATGGTAATTTTTTGTTTT